TAGAACTCAAAGCACTACACTAAGTTATCTCTGGATCACATTGCTCTGTACTACATCAACTTGCTGAGATCCCACCTCTGTAGCGAAGCTCACTTCGTTCTTGGGTAAGGGATGAACTAAAGGCTGTTTACTATCACATGAGTAAAATAGGTTCAGATTTCTAAAGAACACACTCCCTCTTCCTTTCCCAAAAATACTTAATAAAATTCTTATCAGTACCTTTTATTGTTGTAAGGTTTGTTCTGACATATTTCAGGTGACAAATAGTATGGCGTTCCTATGCAAGTGCGAGCCAGTTCTACAGTACTAAGAAAAATGAAGAATGTTAACTAGTTAAGTTACGTGATGTGCAGACATTACGTTTTCCTAGAGCAAAGCTATTTAGATTAATTCTGAGTAACTAGCACCAAATAGTAGTTACCTGTTAAGAACTCTGGCGATTCCAAAGTCTCCCAGCTGTACTGTCCCATCTTTGGTCAAAAATATATTCTTGGTACAGAAATTTTAAAAAGTCTGTTAATTAAAACATTCATACGGCTGCACGTTTTTTGTTCTCAACATGTTTTGGAAGGAGTAAAGTTTTTTTACCATTCAATCACTCTGAATTCACTACCACTAATGTTATTGACTACTGGGAAATAAGAGACCTATTCTTGTCCTACTTTATCAAAGCTGGAAAAAACATCTCTATAAATTCTAAAATATAATTAAGTGTGGGAGAAAAGGTCATATGAGTAATGCTAAGATAGCTTCTTTGGCTCTTCTGTTTGTGCAAATATCAAATAAAACTGTCCCGAAAATTCCAAACAAAAAGTGTTTCCAATTTAAAAAGTGTTTATATAAAGAGATATATTCCAAATATTTTCCATAATTTTCCAGCTGACACTATTAGGATATAACATAATCACTTTGGAAGTAAAGTGAAAAAATAGATACATACATACATACATATATATATATATACACACACACACACACACAGCATACCTGTGACTTTATGTCTCGATGCAAGATTTTTCTATCATGTATATGTTTTAGTGCTAAACAGATTTGTACAAACCAATCCAGAATCTAAATGTAAAAGAGAATACGCAACATCAATATCTTAATTTATTTGAAAGCTTCTGCAGTTACATTAGTCAGGTTTTTATCAAATCAGTTTGATAATTATAAACTCAAAATTTTACCCTCTTCCCACAAACCCGGCTTCATATATATCCTGGAATCATTAAAAATGTAACACTACTATCACTATAATACAAACATAAACAACATATTTTAATGAAAGATGCACATTAACCTATGTATACATTATTAATCCTGATCCTATTCGTTTTAATCACATATTATAAAGTTTAAAAAAGGATGAAATATGAATCTGATAGGCTGTATTTAAAATATGGAACTTGTATCCTTAAGATTGTACTTTTGCCGTAATCAATGCAAATTCATCTTACAGTCAATGAAACAAATCCACAAAGTAGATTTCAATTACAAAAGCGACAAACAACAACATACAATTAGAAGATTATAAACAAGCCAACAAAACTAACATTATTGTGAATTTGTGAAAGACAAAATATGAAAAGGCTAACTGCAAAAACTCTTCTATGTGGAATAGCTGTTTCACTTTCACAACTCAGAGGTACATACATACCAAAATTACAATAAAATGCAAGGGGTAATTTTCACTTTTCTATTTTAAGCTCTTGTAAATATAAGTCCAAATTAAAAAATGAGCAGTTATACAAACTTGTTTTGATCATTACCCTACTCTGAATACCACCAATAGACCTAAAACAGTCCTTAGCCTTCAAACCCACAGGTGAGATTCTGATGCATTCCTACTGCATGCAACTGCAAAAGCACAGAAACTATTTGTAAATAAGGAAACATATCTCTGTTCTTAACAAAAAATTGAATCCTACATAATCTATTTTTGCTTTGTTTAATTGACTACGTACATAAAATCCTCTCAATTATTCCAGACTGCCTCACAGTAAAAATGACTTTATAACCAGTATTATCAGGAAGGAAAAATCTGCTGCTATACTTCCAACAGAACATCAAAACTTTCTATTTAAAAAGAATTCGAATTAAGTAAGTTTCATATTATTACATTTGCAAAGTAAGCTATTCTATTCCTGGGATAAATTTAAAAAAAAAAGTCAGTATTGCAAAACAAAATTCTTGTACTGTAACATCTTATAGGTTTAAAAAACTTCAGCCTGTCCATCCCTTAAGTATTTTTCATTTATCACGCTCGGTTTATTTTGCAAGTAGTGCAGGTTTTTTTTAAAAGCATCCTACCCATACAGACAAAATCCCAATTAACATACCCTGGATTTCCAGCTAAGTTTTTGAGGCGTTACTGTGGCTGGTGGCGACAAGAATCACAATTTGGGAACATTCTACACATCTTAAGCAACCCTACACATCTTAAGCAACCATATCTGTCAAAATGAACAAAAATTCTTCAAGGCATATGAAAAGTATTATGCAACAAAAAGCTATAGCAGTAGTTTGCTGTTACCTGATCCTCTGAGAATAGGATTCCTTTTTGGGCATTTATTTTTTTAAATAGGTCTCCTCCTTCACAGTAATCCATCACTATATAGAGACAACCATTTTCTGTAAAACAAAACCGAAATATTTCAATAAAGAAAAATAACCTCCGTAAGATATCTTTCTGAATATCTTAACAACAACAGTTTGTCTCTACGTGGGTCACTGAAAAAGCAGTTGGGAAATCAAACCTTTCCATGTGCAGCTTCAAATATCATTTATTATTCCTTTTTCCAAGCTTCAAGAAAAAAGGTTGTATTTACTCCGAGTTCCACAACGTATGTTTCCCCATCCCTGGTAAAACTGGATTATTTGACGCAGCGGGGAAAGTGACTTCTACTGAACTACCGCCCTAAGACCACTATGAAATTAAAGATGCCACTTTATGAACGCAACAAAAAAAAATATTCTCCACCCTACTTGTTATTTCAAGCATCCATAGTCATAAAAACACCTAGTCATAAAAATAGATATCCGAAAGTTCTCAATCAGGTAATTGCATCTGCCTGTCTAAATCCTTCTTGCAGTTCTACCTGGACAAGATGCCAATACTTACTGCAAGAACGTGGCAGTTATCAGTTCTCATACCAAGCTTACAGTTCATTTCAGAGACTGAAGAACAACAAGAAAGCTTCCAGCAGACAACAACAGATGGAAATCAGTATTTTCTCATTTTGAAAGAAATTTGGGGCGATTCCAAAGTCGTATGCAAGTTTCCAGCATAAAGTTTGAGCACATATAATACATTGACACAAAATTACAGTTTTGCTCCCCAATACAATCTTTTCAGTTACTGTTGAAAAAGGAGATTAGGCACAAACAAATGGCAAATTAATGCATAATGATGAAAATTTTAACATTTCATGAATATCAATGCAAATACGCCAGTAAAATACAAGAACTACAGTATTCACAGACTAGGCGTGATTTTGAGAAAAGGTGAATAAGTACACACAGTCAAAATAATAAGTATATGCCACTCAAAAGCAACATCCCTTATGACTATGAAAAATTAGTCGTAACACTAAAAAAAAGTAAATAGAGTGAAAAATAATTAAAGCCTCTAAGTCACTTAAATTTCATTTCCACAAACTATTTCTGAAATTTGTCTTCCGAAACAGCAGAACTTCTCATTTGAACTTACAGTGCTTTGTACCTTGGCTGAGTTTTACTACTGAAATTATGCTGAAATCTTATCCTAGGAGTTTGGATTTCTTGCAGACCTACCTCTGAAATAAAGTGCTTTTATAAATCAAAACCAGTATGTTCAAAGTCATTATGCTTCAGCAAGCAAGATGCAGTTTGAAGTCTCATGAACTGGGGATTACAGAATCTACCTCGTAAAATATAGCGGTCTTAAAGAACAGGCCGCTATTACAGAGGAGGCAGAAGTGTGGATTTATAAAAAGCAACAATCACAGCCTTCTGATTTATGGCATATAATTCTAACTTAATGAGCAGAAAATAACACCCCAGAAGCAAAAGGCATGAAAGTCAGCAGAAAGGAAGGAAAAGAAAAAAGAACAATGCTCTTACTCGGTATTTCAAATAAAAATTTAAGTTTCTAAATACTATTTTTAATCCTATGTATGTACAGGTGCTTTTATCTCTTCTGATTATTTCCCATAATATTCACTGCAAAAGGGACATGGAATCTTGTTCGTAAGTGTCTTCGTTATCACAACTTTCACACTATTACTGAAAGAAATGATAATCAGGAGAGAACTCTGGGCCACTAGTTAAGCAGATCCTTCTTAAGGATATCAGTGAATCATCCTTTTTATGAAGTTCTTTCAGGTTTAAATTGAATTACCCCTTCCTTCATGGCTTGGTGAGGCAAACCGCTAGTCTCATCTATTCTTCCAGGCTTTAAAGCAATGATGCGATTGCAATTACAGAAGACCACGTTCTAAGACGACAGGCTTTTGGGATGAGATTGCCCTTGCTGGGTGATTAATATTTGAATTCAGATCATGCTCATATTTAAGATACGTAAGAATTCAAGTAATTAGCATAGATGCACGAATTTAAGGGGAATATACTGCAGAGAAACAGAAAAAGATAACCCTTCCACTTAGGCATCAACCAAAATTAAATAGTTTAAAGAAAAGATAAGAATATATTTTATATATATGTATGTATATATATGTATGTATATATATATAATCAGGAGAGAACTCTGGGCCACTAGTTAAGCAGATCCTTCTTAAGGATATCAGTGAATCATCCTTTTTATGAAGTTCTTTCAGGTTTAAATTGAATTACCCCTTCCTTCATGGCTTGGTGAGGCAAACCGCTAGTCTCATCTATTCTTCCAGGCTTTAAAGCAATGATGCGATTGCAATTACAGAAGACCACGTTCTAAGACGACAGGCTTTTGGGATGAGATTGCCCTTGCTGGGTGATTAATATTTGAATTCAGATCATGCTCATATTTAAGATACGTAAGAATTCAAGTAATTAGCATAGATGCACGAATTTAAGGGGAATATACTGCAGAGAAACAGAAAAAGATAACCCTTCCACTTAGGCATCAACCAAAATTAAATAGTTTAAGGAAAAGATAAGAATATATTTTATATATATGTATGTATATATATGTATGTATATATATATTTAATTGTGTATAGGAATCACAAAGATAACCAGAAGGAACTGAGGCAAGTAATAAAAGGAGGGAAAAAACGATTAAAGAGAGAAAAATACAGTGATTTGTAAACCATATGTAATTAATAGGACATATACAATCAATTATTTCAGGTTCTATTACATTAATTGATCTTACCTTCAAATGACTCCCTATAGAGGACTATATTTGGATGCTTCATGTTAGCCAATACAGCAACTTCTCTCCTTGATTCTTCTCTCTCCTTATTTGACATCTTTAGGAGGAAAATAATGATTTTTGAGAACAGGAATATGACCAAAAAAAAACCCACCAGCAATTAATAATATCACTCACCTTTGAGATGTTTATTTCTTTAATAACATACTGTTGGCCATTTTCTTTTGCTTTCACCAGAATTGCTTTCCCAAAGGATCCTTCTCCAATCTTCTGCACTTTAATATATTTATCCATAGTTATCTGCTTAAGGCATCCTTACTTGAGTACTAACAAAAAAAACACATAACAGATTTAGTTAGCTGTACTTGGCCAGTCTTCCAACCTGTCAGTTCTTGTTACACTTTTTACTCAAAATGTCAACCGATTTCTCTCTTCAACTGCATTACGTGCTTAGTACCTTTTCTGTAAATCACCTACTCTCAGTCTTAATACATTTTTGTATAGTTGCCTCAGTTGGTGTAGAAAAGGGCTGCATTGCTAAAACCAGTTTACCCTTTCATCCTGACAGTTTAAAAAAAAAGCATATTTTATCTTTAGATAAAACTAGTCAGTGTCATAACTTCTAACTCAGCTAGCAAGTTAACATCATATAAAGACATAGCGTTTGGTTAGCAATCTTTCATTCAACTTTGTTTGGGAAAACTACCAGAGGAGTGTACAAAATTACCTATACGTTTATTCTTAAGAAGCACTAAATACAGTATTTTGGAAGTCAGTCACTCTAATGAACCAAAAACCAGACTAAATTCAAGAGATCTCCAGTCACACTTAGAATCATTATTCAATAAAAAAAGGTATGACCTTAATTTTTACTGAAAATTTAAATAATTTATTTTTTTCATATCACACAGAAGATAGATTCATTACAAAATGGTGCAAATCAGTGTGCGTACTGTACTATCTGACTAGTTAGACTGGAAAAAGTTTTGAGATTAAGCAGCTTAGCTGAATGTAGCTTGTGTTTAAAGTGCTATATTAAAACATCATTTGGTAAAAGTGAGACGCTTGAACAAGTTTAAAAGAAGCAGCAATCAAACATGGAGTGAAAGAGTAAGCGTGATAAAAGCCTAAGTGCATTTAAAAAAAGTAGACTATATCAAGCTAATTTCTTCTCTCTATGTTGACAGACATTTTTATCTTGATAACACATATAGCTAATCTATCTGAGCTTCAGTAATGCATTTGGTGAACAAAAAAAATCACAAATAATCAACAAGATGGAAACCGGGACAAGACCTGTAAGGGGTAGAAGAAAGTAGCTAACAGGGTACCAATAGGTGGTTCTGAATGAAGTTTACAAGCACAGCTTCTCTTCCAAGTGAAACTCCTGAAGAATCCTCTTTCTTCTCCTGATAAATGTGGAAGGGGGAAAGAAAAGTTCTCCCCCAAATTTGCAAATGACTTAAAGGCACAGCCAATATACAGACGCATCAGAACAGCAAAGAGAACTGGCCATAAAACAATAAAAATCCAAAGAAATTCGTGGTGGATAAAAAGGTTACCTTTTCTAGAGCAGAGAAAACTTTCATACTCTGAGGACTGTCAGCTGAGAGAGACAAAAGGTTTCTCAGCTTTTCTGCATCTAAGCCTCACTTAAAAGCACTAACAGCACTCATACCTTTGCTGCACCTAGCTTCCCTCCAACAGAAGACCTTATTACCTTAGGTTCATATTTAGTATCTCAAGCAAGGCTCATCTCACTGATTTAGATTAATTTTTTTGTCAGTCAAAAAATGACCAAGCACCAGACAAGAAGTTGGCTAAAGATGCTTAGGAAGATGAAGGACGCATACACCACAGGTACAGACTACAAGAAACAAGCTTGGCCAGTACTTTAAGAGGAAAAAAAAAAAAGAAAAAGAAAAAGGGCCGAGGAGAGCTGAAGTAATCTTTTCTACAAAGCAGAAGACGAGAGTAAAAGATGACTAGGCATAACTACCAGGAAGGAAAAAAGTGAAACTGACAGGCCTATATTTATTTTTGTTTTGTTGTTTTTTGTCTTGAAGATACATCAAGACATTTTAAGTGTTAAGGTACCCCTAAAGTGGGGGAGGGGGGAAGACTTTGCATTAACATCAATATTATTTTTTAGGCAATGGTAAAGCATACCAGATGGGACACTTCTATTTTCAGGTACCTTTAATCAAGTTCTCTTGCTGCTGCTGCATTATTTACAAAATAAGCTATGCCGTACTAAAGCTAAACCAGCAGTATTAGATGTAACTTCAGGTGACTGCTGCATGCTACCCTGTGCAAATACAAACTATCAGCAACAAGCTTCTGGGTGGGAAACTACAGTTAGGTCAAAGATGGGATATAGTTTTGTCCTAATTAGATGGACTATCTTTACCTGCGGCATGGGAAACACAAGGCTTGAGAAAGGACTTCAACCCTTTCTAAGCCCTAAGCAAGAAGGTCATGTTACCCATGCGGGAGGAGAGAGACTCATGCGCCGAGGCACATGCCCGAGGCACCGCGACCGCTGGGAGCGGAGAAGGCGAGACGGCAAACCCGATCCGCACAGCCAGGCCACGAACGGGCGGCAGGCAGCCCCGCGCAGCGCCCGCGCTCCCAGCCTGGCGGCAAGGCAAGCACCCAGGCCGGGCGCAGGCCGTTACACCGGGCCGGGCCCCTCAGCCGGACGAGGCCGGGCCGCCGCCCCCACAC